AACATTTCCAATTACATGTAAAAACAATATTAAATTTCATTTTTTAAAAAGTTGAATTTCAAAAATTATCTCCCTCCCTTCCTGCAACAGCTGTAATGCATATTAGTCATGTTCTGAAAGAAAACAGACCCAAAAATGAAAAAATAAAAGTGAAAAAATGGTATGCTTCAGCTCACATTCCATCAGTTCTTTCTCTGAAAGTGGATAGCATTTTTTCATCCTCAGTTCTTTGGAGTAGTCTTGAATCATTGTATTGCTAAGCACAACTATGTCATTCAAAGTTGATCATTGTACAATATTGCTGTTACTGCATATAATGTTCTCCTGGTTCTGCTCACTTCACTCTGCATCAGTTTATGTAAGTCTTTCCAGGTTTTTGTGAAATCTGCTTGCTCATCATTTCATATAGCACAATAGTATTTTATTAAACTCATATACCACTTGTTTAGCCATTCCCCAATTGATGAGCACCACCTCAATTTCCAATGTTTTTGCCACCAAAAAAAGAACTGCTATGGACATTTTTGTAGAAATGGGTCCTATTTCCTTTTCTTTGTTATCTTTGGACCTAGTACTAGTATTGCTGGGTTAAAGAGTATGCACAGATTCATAGCCCTTTATGCAAAGTTCCAAATTGCTTTCCAGAATAGTTGGATCAGTTCACAATTCCATCAATGGTTAATTAGTGACCTAATTTTCCCACATCTCCTCCAACATCTATCATTTTCCTTTTCTGTCTTATTAGCCAATGTTATAGGTGTGAGTTGGTACCTCAGAGTTGTGTTAATTTGCATTTCTCTAATCGAAAGTGATTTAGAGCATTTTTGATTTCTTCATCTGACAACTACTTGTTCATATCCTTTCACTATTTATCAATTAGGGAACAACTTATATTCTTATAAATTACAGTCAGTTCTTTATGTATTTGAGAAATGAAGCCTTTATCAGGGACATTTGCTGCAAATTATTTCCCTAGCTTCCTGCTTTCCTTCAAATCTTGATTGTATTGCTTTTGTTTATACAAAAGCTTTTTAATTTAATATAATTAAAATTATCCATTTTACATCTTGTAATACTCTCTATCTCTTGTTTGGTCATAAATGATTCACTTATCCATAGATAAACTATTCCATGCTTTCCTAATTTGCTTATGGTATCACCCTTTATGTCTAAATTATGTACTCATTTTGACTTTAACTTGATATATGATGTGAGATATTGGTCTATACCTAGTTTTTGCCAAACCATTTTCCAGTTTTACCAGCAGTTTTTGTCAAGTAGTGAGTTCTTGTCCCAAAATGCTAGATTACTATGGTCATTTACTACTACGTATTATTATATACCTAATCTATTCAATTGATCCTCCACTCTGTTTCTTAGCCAGTACCAGACTGTTTTGGTCTTTACCACTTTATAATACAGTTTGAGATCTGGTAAAGTTAGGCCGCCTTCCTTCCCATTTTTTTCATTAATTCCCTTAATATTCTTGACCTTTTATTTTTCAAGATGAATTTGGTATTATATTTTCTAGCTCTTTAAGATAATTTTTGGTAGTTTGATTGGTATGACACTGAATAAATAAATTTAGATAGAATTCTCATTGGTTTGCTACCCATGAGCAATTAATATTTTTTCAATTATTCTAACTTTATTTGTGTGTTTTGTAATTGTGTTTATAGTTCTTGGATTTGTCTTGGCAGGTAGACTCCCATATATTTTATATTGTCTATAGTTATTTTAAATGTAATTTCTCTTTCTACCTCTTATTGCTAGACTTTGTTGGCAGTATGTAGAAATGCTAGTAATTTATGTGGGAGTATTTTGTATCCTGCAACTTTGCTAAAGTTCTTAACAATTTCAAGTAGTATTTTAGTTGATTCTCTAGGATTCTCTAAGTATAACATTATCTACAAAGAGTGATAGTTTTGTTTCCTCATTGCCTATTCTAATTCCTTTAATTTCCTTTTCTTCTCTTATTGCCATAGCTAACATTTCTATTACAATATTAATTAATAGAGGTGATGATGGGCATCCTTGCTTCACCCCTGGTTGTACTGGGAAAATATCTAGCTTATCCTTATTACAGATAACACTTGTTAATGGTTTCAGATAGATACTGGTGTTGTTGTTGCTGTTCAGTCATCCAGTAGGATCCAACTTTTCATGACCCCAAGGACCATAGAACACTAGGCCTTTTTAACCTCCACTATCTCTAAAAGCCATTCCAAGTTTATGTTGTTGTTTCCATGACTCTATCTATCCATCTCAGCCTCTACCATCCCCTTTTCCTTTTGCCTTCAATCTTTTCCAGCTTCAGGGTCTTTTTCAATGAGTCTTCCTCATTATGTGGCCAAAATACTTAAACTCTAGCTCCAGTGTTTTACTATTCCAGTGGATAGTCTGAATTAATTTCTTTAAGTGTTGACTGATTTTATATCCTTGCTGTCCAAGGGACTCCCAAAAGTTTTCTCTAGCACCACAATTTGAAAGTGTTGATTCTGTGGCACTCAATTTTCCTATGGTCCAACCCTCACAGCCATACATTGTCGGAAAGATCATAGCTTGGATTATAGGGACCTTTGTCGACAAGGCGATGCCTCTGCTTTTCAGTACGCTGTCCAGATTTGCTATATTTTTCCTTCCAAGGAACAAGCCTTTTTAAATTTCATGGCTGCTGTCACCACCTGCAGTGATCTTTGAGCCCACGATTATAATATTTCCATTTCTTCTCCCTCTCTTTTCCGGGAAGTGATGGGATCAGTTGCCAAGATCTTAGTTTTTTTTTTTATGTTAAGCTTCAATCCAGTTTTCACACTCTCCTCTTCCACCCTCATTAAGAGGCTTCTTAATTCCTCTTCACTTTCTGCCATCAGAGATTGTTGATATTTCTCCCAGCAACTTTAATCCTGGCTCTTGATTCATCTAGCCTTGCATTTCACTTGATGTACTCTGCATATAAATTAAATAAATAAGGTGACAAAATACAGTCTTGTCATACTTTTTCTATCTTAAACCAATCAGTTCAATGTTCAGTTCTAACAGTTGCTTCTTTACCCACATACAGTTTCCTCAGGAGATAAGTAAGATGATCTGATACTCTTGTCTCTTTGAGGACTTGCTACATTTTGTTATGATTCACACAGTCAAAGGCACAGAATGTCAGACATGGCAGGGAGTCTTTGGGAGGAATGGAATTGGAAACAACAACAGCAATGGTTATTTACTGCTGAAGACTTGTGTGTCTCATGACCATCTCATCAACACTGTCTTTCATTTACCTAAATGCAATAAAACTTTGTGAATGTTCCCTAACAGCAAACATTGGCATTTAATAGACTATGTCCTTGTAAGGAGAAGAGACAGACAGGATGTGAGAGTGACAAAGGTGATCTGTGGCACAGAGTGTTAGACCCTATCACAGATTTATCCTCCCCAAGCTAAATATTCACATTCAACCAAAGCAGCGACCTCAAGGTAAGAGTACCAGCAGACTTAATGTCAACAGATTAGATAACTTCTCTGAAGAGGAGCAGTTCATTGATAATTTGGAAAGAAAGCTATCAGGGCAGCTACATGGTGCAGTGGATAAAGCTCTGGCCTTGGAGTCAGGAGGACCTGAGTTCAAATCTGGACTCAAAAACTTGACACTTACTAGCTGTGTGACCCTGGGCAAGTCACTTAACCCTGATTACCTCACCAAAAAAGAAACAAAAAAAGAGAGATTGAAAGAAAGCTGAGTCAACACATGATTGGCAACAGTGGAGCAGAAAAGGAGGGGGAAGCTTTCAGAGATTTGGTGTACAACACTGCATTTACTCATCTGGGCCAGAACACAAGCAAACATCAAGATTGGTTTGACAAAAATGATGGGGAAATTCAAGAGCTACTAATGAAAAAATGAGAACTCCGCAGGGTTTACCAGCAGGATAGTTCATCTGTCTCTAAGAAGGTAGCACTTAACTCTATCAAAAGTAAAGTTCAAGGGAAGCTTAAAGAGATACACGATTCTTGGCTCAATAAGGAGGCAGATGAGATTCAGTTTTACACTGATAGTAGTATTCCAAAATGCTTTTATGATGCCCTGAAGGCTATTTGTGGGCCAAAGACCTATGGTGAAACTCAAATATTTAGTGCTGATGGAGCCACACTGATCAATATTAAGGACATGATCCTGGAGAGATGGGCTAAACACTTTTGTAGAGTTCTCAACAAACTGTCATCAATCAATGCTGAAGCCACTGTCCATATATCTCAGATTCAAGTCAATCCCTCTCTAGCTGAACTTCCAAATGAAGAAGAGGTTTTGAATACCATTAGGTTGTGTGTGGGAAGAAAGCTCTTTCAGAGTAAAGAAAATTGCATCAAGAAAAAAGGAGTGCTGTCCTACTACATACCCTCCTTTGATGTCAAGAACCCAGTGATCTTCTAGAAGGCCTTCTACCATTTAAATAACTTGACAGTCCTCTAGTAGTACTAAAAGAGGAAAAGGGTGAAATGGGTAAATATACATACATATAGACATATAGACATACACATATATACATACATACATATATGTATACACACACACACACAGAAAGAGAGAGAAATGCAAAAGGCAAAAATCCTAAGCCTTTCCTTCTTCCTTCAGAAAGACTAAATCTCACAGTTTGTTGCATGGGAAGGATGCTTACCACATCTTTGAAGTAAATAACCCGTCTTCTAAATGAAAGTGATGATGATGAACCAGAGCAGCACCAAGTACACCAGAGTCTGAGCACAAGTGATGACACCTCCAGTGTGGTTATGGATTTCTTCTGATGTGAGGTGTTGCTGATGAGCAAGAATAGCTCCAGGAACATCAGAGCCTCTGTAGGGGTACTTGAGACACAATCAACAATTCTTCATCTTGCATCAGAATCATCTGCAGTAAAGTGACTATGAGGTCATAAACCTCTTGCTCATAAACTACAGGGTCTAAATTGATACTGAGGTTCTTCCTATATTACCACCTACTCAGTATTCCCTAGCCCACCTGCCCAAATTCCTCCTTGAAAAGGGAATATAATATCAGGGGAATGTTACAAAATCTTTGGCCTCTTAGAGGCCTCTCCAAGGAAGGATTGCCCCCTTCTTCCTCAGTGGCTAAATAAAGAGTCTCCCTCACCCTCATCCAGTGACTCAAATTTGCCACTAAATCAAATAAGGATTCTCCTTTCTTCCAGGTTAGATACCCACCGCAGTTTCATAGTAGCAATTTCATCTCTTTCATGCTTTTTGAAAGCAAGATGCCTCCCAACAATATCACCCCTCGGTCCTCCAAGACTTTTTTTGGGAAAGAGTTCCTTGAACTATCTAAAAGGAAAGAAAGTGTGACAATTGAGGGGGACCTGAGCTACTTCTCCAGGATGTATGGAGCCCTCTGAGAGGACAAGGACCTTGAGGCTAAAGAAGGGCCAGAGAGGATCAGCCAGGAGTATGTTCAAAAGAAATTCATTCTTATCAGGTAAATTTTCATGGAAACTGGATTCAAGACAAGGGAAACTTTCTCCTTTTGGTAGAAGCATCAATTTGTCACAGACATGGCATCTTGGAGGCCAGACACTTGACTTGGGCAGTCAGATGCATAATTATGCAAGTGGTCATCTGTAGGGGATCTTCAGGTGGGGGAGTTCCATTTTGCCAGTTGGGGATAGACTGAAAGTCTTATAAATAGTTGTTTGGTCCTTAGTGAGGGAAATCATATAGTTCTATACCAAGCACAGCATGTTATTACCATTCAAATGTTCAAATTGACATTTGACATACTCCTCTCTGCTACTCTTGTAACAGCTCCAATCTGATATTTTAGCATGTCTCTGATATGTCTCCTTTTTAGTATATGTCTTCCTAGAATGGGAGGTATCAGCAAAATTCCTCTATTCACTCTGATCCCAAAGTGATTGTCCAGCTTTGTGTATACCCTATTATCAGATTAGTCACTTTTGAAGTCCATTTGTGTATGCCTTTCTTGAAGCATATGGAACCATTGAATAATTAGGCAAAATGGTGCTTGTTCATCAGAAACTAGGTCCTTATAGGTTGGAGCCCATCAGGCCTTCAGTGGAGGCAGGGTTCCAGGGTCTGGACTAGAGACCTCAGTCTCTGGCATAGTCACCACCAGTTTGTGAGGAGTACTAACACCAGAAGGGGCCAAAGCAAGCATGACCTCCAATGTACAATTTTCATTTAACAGTAGAAGCCTTCTGTACTCTATCCTTCTTGTTAGAGGGACCATTTTGCATCATACAATCCATAATTGGTAACTCTGGGGAAAAGGTGATTGTATGATTGTACGACTCTGTGTCATTTGTTCAGTATCAACTAGGGCCCCATAAGAGGCAAACAAATGCTTTTCAAAAGCAGTGTAATGAGTGGCTGCTCTCGGGAACTTGGATCTCCAGATGACTAACTGGTTTATTCTGGCCACACCTTGGTGCCTACCAAAGATTTCACCTCATTTGGTCATTATTAACAGAGACCTCCAGAAACATGGATCTTGCAGGGTCTTAAAGACCCAAGGTTAAAGATTGCTGGACAGCCTATTTCACATTGTCTAGGCCTCTAGGGCCATATCCCATTCTGGGTTCCAATTGAAATATAATGTCTTGTGGGTGTCTCAGTAAATGGGGTCATCAGGCTATCCAGGCATGGAATGTGGGTTTTCCAAACTCTAAAGATTCCAATAAGTATTTCTTCTTCCTTCTTAGACTGTGGGGAAGCTAGTGTCAGTAGCTTCCTCTGGGCTTTTTTTTACCTACTCTGTTCCTCAATATGTTACTGAGTGGGCTGGACCCTGAAATTTCTTAAGATTGATTTCTCACATCTTTTCTCTCATATGGAACACTATCTCTTCTAGGGCTCCTGTCCCTGTAGCCTCATCTAGTCCCAGTCAATATTATATCATCAACATAATGTTATGCACCAATGCCTTTAAGAAACCTCTTTCAGTTCTCTGCCCACCATAATGTGGAAGTGTGAAAGGTAGGTCAAAGGATGGTCAAAGTATAGTGGACTCTTTCCCAAGTGAAAGAAAACTTTCCTAACTAGTGTCAGGTACAGAAATAGAGGAGGAAAAGCATTGGCAAGGCTGATAATCCTATACTACTCATTCTAGGCCTTGGCTACATGGTCTATAATATTGATGAGGCAAGAAACAGCTGTAGAAATAGGTCTGATGACATTGTTCAGCTCCCTAAAATCCACTGTAAGCTTCCAGGAGCCATTTGCTTTTCCTCACAGATAACACAGGATTGTAAGGAGATGTGGTATAAGGAAGTACTCCAGCTTCCTTCATCTTCATGACTGGAGAAGATATATCTTTAACCTCCCTAGAGACCCAGTATTGTATGATATTAACTACATAGGGTTGTTCAGGTAACTTTAAGGGTTTTCATTTGGCCCTACCCAGAGTAACATCCCTAGAGATTACTGAAAAGGTACACACAAATGCTGAGTTCATAACACCTCTTTTCTCCATGGATTGCCCTGTATAGACCTCTTGAATGATCCAAATGAGGCAGGACTTTGGAGGATACCTCAGGCTCTGGTAGAGCTGAAGGGCCATAAGGGTCCATAGTTTTACAAGCACATCCATGGACTGACCATCACCCATCATGAACCCCAGGGATACTTTCTGAAATTCTCCCAGCACACTAGAATTTGTTACGTGCTCCCCTTTAAACCACAGGTTCTAATTCCTAATTTGTTTCCTTAATGACTAGCCTTGAATGTAAGTGGAAAAGGAAGTTCCTTATGTTGGAAACCTTTTCAACCAACTTTGATGGAGTTGGATTTGCACTGATGCTGAAAGGCCCATCAAATATTTCTCTCACTCATCTGAAATTTCTTGCATCATCTAAGTTAGACAACGTTACATTCTAAAAGTCAAAGCAGAAATGTGTATGTTACCTGGGCATAGTATACTTCCTCTAATTAAAACAATAGTAATGGATTGAGTTATTTCTCAGGTTATAATGTAATATTTGGGTCATGGGAATTTGAAATGTAGGACAAGTATTAGTAAGGGTAGTAGGATCCCAAAAAGGGATGGTCTATATTCAGGAAAGGCAAGCCAATAGGGACAGGGAAAAGGAGGAGTCAAAGGGTACCAAAATGGAAGAATACCACCAAGACCAGATTTGTCTACATCCAAATTCTGCAAAGGGTCATCGCCACAGCTGCAATGAAGGATTTTTAAAAATTTTTAATCAACAGGGCCTCTAAAATGATTATTAGGGTGAAAAACATTCAATGTAAATAGTGGATAGAGCCTTGGGTATGGAGTCAGGAAGACCTAAGTTCAAATCCAGCCTCAGAACCCTGGACAAGTCAATATACAAAAAATTTTGGCTATTATTATTATTATTGTTATTTATGGCTGGGAATAAAGTGTCTCCTTAAGAGATAATATCCCTTAAGTACATTATAGAGGCAGCTGGGTGGCTCAATGGATAGAGTGCTGTGCCTAGAGTCTAAAAGATCTGTGTATAAACCTAGCCTCAACACTTATTAGATGTGTGGGAAAGTCACTTCTGTTTGCCTTAATCCACTGAAGAAGGAAAAATTGCAAACCACTTCAGTATCTTTGCCAAGAAAACCTCATACGGGGTCACGAAGAGTCTGACACGACTGAACCATGGTCATAGCCCTAGTTAACTCTGTTTATAAGACCTGTAGTTAAATCCAGCTTCCTTCATTCCCATGACTAGAGAAGATATATCTTTTATCTCCCTGGGAACACAATGTTGTCCCCAGGGATGAGAGACTGATACCTTAGCTAGGTGACATTTCCCAATCAATCACTCATAGGCCATAAACTAAGAGCTAAAAGTTATTGCCTTTGAAATGGCATGAACTATTTTTGGATAGACAGAAGAAACTTGGTCATTCCTTAAGGATCATCTAAAAATTATCAAGTAGGTTGAGAAGGGATGGATTTTTTTTTTATAAACTGGAGCAAGTATGGCTTTCAAGTACTCCTCTTTGTGTCAACAGCAGGAGGTGGGGGAAGAAAAGGGCTCATTTAGATCATCTTCACGCCTTGCTCCTTTACCCTGAGGAGGCCCTTGCAAGCTTCAAAAAGTCCTAGGGACTTGGGGTTTGCCATCTTCCCTTTATGTCCTAGCATCATCCCTCCAGGACAGCAGCAGCTGGAAATACTGTCTGCATTAGGAGATGAGGACAGGCTAGACTCATAGTTCTACAAGGGATCCTGCAAAGCAGCTGCACTATACCTAAGGCAAACTGCTTCCATAAATGAAAGAAAATGATTTCCAACAACTAGGAGATATGTTGCCTCTCTCTCCTTTAATCTTGAACTCACTTTTCCCTGAAGTCAGAATGTACTCTTATTAGAGATTTAGCCCAGCTTCTAGAGGGCTCAGTTGTTTTAGCAAGGCTACACAGAGCACGTTCACATTTTCTCTCCCTCTTTCTCTCTCTCTCTCTCTCTCTCTCTCTCTCTCTCTCTCTCTCTCTCTCTCTCTGACTCAAATTTGTAAGAACAATCCATTTCACAACTGATAAATGGTCAAAAGGCATAAACTCTCAGCCCCCGTAGTATAGAACAACAGGCATGCACAGCATACAGGAGCATAGGCTGCTTGGGGGCTGCCAAAGGAATTCAGGTGGCCAGTGAAAAATGTAGGATGAAGCTCCTGTTTGTCACATGACTTGCAAAAACCAACCATCATCAGTCTGTCTCTAGTCGAACCTATCTGTGCTCAAAGAAATTTAGTCTATTTTAATTTTGGCCCCTACCTACTACCGAATTGTACAGGTCTGCTATAGAAGGTGGATGTGGGGGGGAGGGAACAAAAAAGTGAAGCCCAAGAGAAAGACTAAGGTTAGAAAAAAGGCCCAAGAAAGGGTAACTCCAAAACAGGAGCTGATGAACAGAGAACAGGGACTGTTCATTGTATTATTAAATATTATTTAGTTGACTGTCATTGTGCAAATAAGATATTGTTACTGTTATTGGTACTACTTCACATAATTTCTTTGCTGTTATTTGCTAAGTATCCTTTATTACATCATTATACAATTTTGCAAGTCTTGTTTACTTTTTTTTATCGTGGTTTTACTGAACATAGCCATCATTGATCAATTTATTGCTTAGATGGGATATATGTTGGTTTAATTTTTTTGTTATTTTTTTAACCTGGAAAATCACATGGGTCTCTTGACTTTAGGAGTAGACATATAGACTAAAAATAAAGACATTTTAAGGACATTGAAAAGAAATACCAAATAATTAGTAAAATGCAAGGGAATTCATAGCAAGGTTAGTATTGGGGAGATCACTCAGTCTGTACTTTGTGACCTGCCCAATATATTGAATCATTCAAAAATACCAGATATATCAGCAGAATGAGGGAACGTCTGGTAACTGATCTCCCCATCTTCTAAGGGGGAAGAATTGTTCTAGTAAATAGAAGTCTTGAAGAGCAAAGAGGCCTGATAGCA